TGTACATCTATTGTTAAATTAATCTTTTTTTCTCAAAGTTAGTTACAAATCTATGGATAGGAGGGGGACAGTTTTGTGCAAAGTCGTAAGAATACCATTGCATCTTAATGTATAGAAAATAATGTATAGGATTCTGTGTTTAATAACTACATAACTTTAACTTCAGATATTTCAGTGTAAAGTCCTTTGTTGGTCCATTCAACAAACAATTTCAAAACCTTTGTCGTTTGCGTGTGCATGGAGGTAAATTTTCTCTATTTGAATAGGCGCTCATACGTTTTCGCAGCTGCACTTAACAGTTTACGAGTACCGTTTAACATCTTACGTATTCTACTAATAAAACATCTATACAAAATAATGCTATTGATTTTATCTGTAAGAAGGGAAAGAGACGAACAAGTAGTAACAAATATTGGTTATTAAAAATTGATAGTCAGACAGAGTAAAGAATCTTTTACTCAATTTTTTTTCTAAAATTATACTGTCGTAAGATCCCAGTATCGAAATACATTTCTAGCGTAATTTTTACCCCACTCAATACAGAGATGCTATAAAAGATAGGTAACGACGTTACGACGCTCGGAAATTAAATATCAATTTTCTTTGACATATCTCTCTGCTGATCCGCGGAACTGAGTACCTTTGATCTTTTATTCTAATATACATATAAGACATGAATATTAAATATTCGTTCACTCGTATATTAAGCCAGCTACACACGTTCAGTTTCATCTGAACAGTCGGATCGTTCAGATGAATTACAAAACTGGGAACATTTTCAGTTTTGCCTATACATGTTAAATTTATTTCTTGTAGAATATTCAGATAACAGACAGTTAAAAATACGTGTGTCGCGGGTCTTATATAACTAAGTCTCATCTGCGTACATACGTCGTATGTACGCAGAAGAGACTTCTTTTGACAAGTTTGTAGTACAATTTATACGTTATGTGGTTTATTTTCGTATTGCTAAAAATTGTGTACACCCCACGCGTGGAAATAATTAATTTGGACTTGTTACCCTTACATTCGCTGTCAGAAGCAAACAGGCTCTAACATATTAATTACTGGGAGTGTGTTGTACTAAATTTTATTTATGTATACAAATCTTTTTGGGAATACTGCGTTGTTTATGTGCAAAATAATACTTGGTGCTTTTTTCTCACAGACTAGCATAAAGTAGAAGTGTTTAATATTTTGGCGTATTTTTAGATGTGATTTAGGTTTTAGGTAAGCTCCGTAGAAGCTATTCTTTAACCAGTTTTTGTTGTTCTAAGTTACACGCAATTACCCTGCAGATGAAAGAAATCAAATAATTTTGTTAATAATCTTTCAGAATTAAAAAGCTAATCATCGGAAAATCATACTAATGATGGATGGATGGATGCGTGTTTGTTAGAGTTTGTAGCCGTTTAGGGCTGAACGAATTTCGATGAAATTTGGCATAGATGTAGAGGATAGTCTGGAAAAACACATAAGCTACTCACTTTTGTTTTTTTTATTCTACGCAGGCGAAAGCTAGTGTAGAATAAAATTTCTAGAGGATTCAATTAAAAATCGATTTCTACTAGGAACACGAAATTGAATGGTAATTATAGTTAGGTTGATCCATGTATTATCTGATGGATTGGACGCATTTACATGCGAAATTCGATTAACGTCCGAGCTTACGCGCTAACAAACAGCCGAGAGCGGTAATGCAGAACCAACGGCTGTGTAATGGATTGCGTGGCCGAACTAATCTGCTACCTACATGTCTTCATTTAATACGGTATCAGATACTTTTCAACCGTCTTTAATGCCTGGTTAACACTTGACCGGTACAATTGGTAGCGCTCAATAATTAGGCTGGCAATGAACTGGTATAATGTAAACACTAGACGCCACTAAGTTCATACAACTTGTGACTGACCCTCGCTATTGTCAAATTGTACTGGCATTAAAGTATTTGGTATACCATATCATTATTTACGTGTATAACAATTGAGGAATCGTTTTTTTTCGCATCTTTTCTTTATCAAACCTACAATCAACTAACTTGCGTACTAATAATTGATGTTTTTTTTGTCTATGTTTTCTATTTAATATCAGTATCTATAAATAATACCTACAATATTTTTCTAACTCACTATAAGAATCCAAAGTAAAATTTTGGAAAAATCAGTAAATACTGACAATTGCCTGCCAAAGTACTATATGGCAGGAAATTGTCGGAAGCGCATTCGGATGGGTGAGCGTTGAGGCGTGCACAGCGCTGCAACGAACTCTTTCACCAAGACCAGCGAACTGAGAAAACACCTACATGCATTGTGCGGCGTTTTCACTTGGTTTTCCCCGGGAAAAATACCTTTTATCTAAAATTTTTACTAATGAACTACATTTTATTAACTTTTAAAACATCAGTGATGCATATTTCCATTAGCCAATTCCTTATCGTCATTTTTTTTGTCTCTTCTTATTGTCTGGTATTTTATGTTAGATTTCATTGATCTAAGAATTGTAGTAATCCTGCTTCTAACAATTGTGGTTTGTACAATGGTACGCTCTACATTTAACATTAACGAAGTAATATTTTACAACAAAAGCTGCTACGAATTTAAGTTTGCCTTAAATAATTACTTGATAAATTTTAAATTCAGTTTGTATTGTAGATTATTTAGTTATTAATTGAATTCTAGTAACAATATCTATTTGTGTAGATTTTAGAACTTACTAAAATCATCAAGTATATGTATATTAGAGTTATTCTGTGTGCTTTTACTAACATTTTTTATGGAGACATCCAAAAAAACAAACATCGCTTTCGTATTTTCCTTCCGCGACAAAAACATAGTTCAAATATATTGACTTGTTTTTCTCCAAAGATATTATGGGAGCGAAGGGCTTACGTTAATGCAATATCATATTTTTAAGAATAACAAGGGTAAGTTACATAGTTTTTTTTAAGTAAAAGAATTGGAATGTAATCCGTTTAATAAAGTTTATGAAATAATAAAGTTTGTGAAATGCTAATGGCCGGTTTCCAAGCTGACAACCATTCATTAGTGTTTTTGATTTGATAAATTTATGAAAAGCATTTCCGATCAACGTAACTCGAGTTTTACTTAAGACCTAGTTTACTTAACAGTAATGAATCGATAGGTAATGACAAAATAGTGTAATTTCAGAAACCCAGTATTAGTGTAATATTAAAATGGTGTTCTCAAAATCACCTCTAGTTTTTGTTTGCCTGAAATCAATTAACTAGTTGTTATTGGAGCGTATTTTTACCTAACCTTTGTATTTCGATGAAAAGAAAACATCGGAATTGAACGGTCAGGTAACAACTTAATCACAGTACAAAGGATTCGTAGCTTTAATTTAGTGAACCATTATCCCAATTAGCAATCCGAGAGTTTGATTACCTTTCCCTTTAGATTTACGATCGACTGCATTTATTTATCAAAAAGCTTGTAGACTTCAGTGATTTTTGCAGAATTCTGATATAGGTGGAAAATTACTTTAATCCTTTATTTATAAGAAGACTTAATTGCAAAATGTTTATAATCTGTATTAAAAAAAAGGTAGTGAAATAGAAGAAAACATGATTTTATGTTAAGTATTGTTGAAGCTATAGAGTAGTAATATATTTATACTTAATGCTGTAAAGAGTAAAGATTTGTATTTTTGTATGTATTGAAATAATCCAAATATTGCTGCGCCGAATTCAAAAATTCTTTCACCATTAAGAAGCTACGTTATCTGTGAGTAATAGGCTATATTTTTTGTTTTTATTTCCACGCGGGCGAAGTCTCAAACAAAAGCTAATCTTGAATAAACAGGAAAAATAAGTAGTAACTTTAGCTTACTGCCATTAACAAATACATAGATATGTAACATCTTCTGAATTGTAAAAATTAGCACAGATATTTGCCATTACAGTTATTACGAATATATCATAGAAATTTAACAGAGTAAAATACTATTATAATAATCCAAAGCTAATGTCAAGCGGTGTTAAATTATTCACGAACCAAATCTTACTACAGTGAGTTCACACAACAGTACAATAGAACACTATCTCCGTAAAATTAACTGCGGGTCGCATTACATTGCAGAGATTATTTAGAACAATACCGCACCGTATAACCTTTCCTATAATTAAATGTCTTACCTGTTATCATCATCCCATTTCACCCACAGAGGGTTCACAGTACTATTTTTCCATATATCCGTCACTTTTGAATTGACCTATGTATTGAAAAAAGTAAGTAAGCTATGTACACTTCCAGACTATATAGTACGTCTGTGCTAATTTTGATTAAGATACGTTTAGCTGCTTTGAAGATACTTCTTACAAACATCCAAACATTCATCCTTCAATTCAACCTTTCTTATTTGTAGTATTGGTATTATATATTCTCTTTTATTTGGAGAAAAGGTAATAAAAGTTTCCTGTCATATTATATCTTCGGAATTGCGGTCGTCATCGCATTGCCGATGCAAACTGTCGTGTTTGAAATGTTAATGTTTTGGGACACATCAGAATTGCAAATAATCGTCTAACTGGGGCATTGCGAATCAGTAATACGGGTTAGGTGGCCCTTAATTGTAACATTTTATATGTAATAATTTATAACATTATATCGCTGTATTATTTAATAAAACTGGGTTTTAAAAGTAGAACATAATTTCCATACATGTTTTAATATTAAGTCTCAATCTTATGAATATATATAGTCTTTATTTTTCTAATGTTTTCAAGGATATGTCCCACTTTTGTAAATAAGCGTTCCTTATCTTATTTCAAAGAGGGGACAACCCCCTATGAGTTACGGACTTTCGTGAATCTTTCTTGGTTATAAATTTCTATTTATTCAATACAAACATTGAAAGTATTGATTGGTACTTCACAGTTGAAAGATTATCAAGAGGTTCAAAGGAAAGGTGTATGGAAAGAATAAAAGACAAGTTATGCATATACTGTAATCTATATTAGGGATCTTAATGATTTATTTGTCAATTATGATTATAATTAAATTATAAATCTACATGTACAAAAATTGTATATACAAGAATCATGCATTCATGTTTAAAACTATATTAGTCGGTAGATACAGTAACCATTTGATAATAGAATTATACCATCAAAATACATTTAAAATTAAATTATTCTTAACTTAGAACATTCGTTCGTAATCAAATATTTTCATCTAATTTCCAAATAAATCAAATAAGTTGAACATTAGTATATTATGTATTTTTTCACTTCTTATTAATACTAGTTTAAATTGACGATATTTCATAAAACATTTCTTAATGTAATAGTTTCATTCAACACACAAATTTCAACTTGCGCTGTTTGGTGTATAGTATGTGTGGATACAAACACATCCTGTAATCACCTACAATATAGCCAAATGTAAATGATCTTGAGTGACACAAAATTGGCAGTAAGTCACTCAAAACAATTTAATTAAAATATGAACACCAAACGAATGTACGATTTTTTCTTCTTATTTACACATCTATGCTTTAATATTTGGCACAATTACGCATTTCATGCACACATTCACACCGCCGTCTAACACTTCTACTGGTTCTGAGCAAATATAGGTATGCAGAGATATCTACAGAAATACAATATCCTCACCGCAAATATGCAACACGGGTGAGTATTTAAAATAATTTATTTACACGCGCAATCAGTCGTATGTATTACAATTATGATGAATAATAATAATTTATAACGTAGTCATAAACATTACAATTGGCTTTTGTAATACTCAATTCGTTACTAATTTATTCACTATCACAAGGGAACATCGATTACCGATGATTTGTTCAAAATAAGCCGTGAAAGTGATTTACATTTGTAAAGATGTCAAAAGCAAAGTAATTATTACGATTGGCACTATACGCAGTCCTTAATAGGCCGGACTAAAACCTACTCAAAATATAATAAAAACTATGTAAAATCGTAAATCTACTTAAAATGTAGAAATCGAATAAATTCCGATGTCGTAGCGACAAGATTATCATAGATAAAATCGTCATAAACTTTTATCTCACAACCTGGTGTGCGGTAGCTAATCAACAAATGTTTCTAGAAGATATGGTCTGATCTAATCGTTTCACTAAGCCCTACACTTGAAAATCGGAAGAGTGGTATTGTCAAAAGTGTCAAGTCTGAGATAGTGAGTGTTCGAGATATCTAGAAGTTTCTAGAAGTTGTTATCGTAGTCGGAACGACGGCGCGAGTAGTGTGAGCGCGGATACTCGCCGGTGTATCCGTATACCTGCGATCCTCCACCGGTCTGACCGTACAGTTGAGAGCCTCCGTATCTGCGGAAAATTAAACATTTGAATAGTACTTCTAAATCAATATTTCTATAAAAATATAACTGATACAGTACCAGTTAAAGAAATATTAGAGATCAACTGGTTATTAGTAAAAAGTAGCTTAGATCAAGAGATTTGATGTAAACGTGAATATATTTTAGGAGGCAGATGGACCAGAAAATCGCAAATGCTTATTTATACTGACCCATAGCCATTTCCAGACACTCCATAAGTCTGTGACCCACGTCCGGAGTCTGGTGTGTAGTGTTGCATATACTTGTGCAATTGCGGCGTCCATTCCGACCTCCAAGAATCACCAGGATTTTGATAAGCGAGCTGTTCGATAAACGCCGTTGACATTCTCTGTAAAAGTTATATTAACGTAATTAATTAAATAATGCTAAAGATCAATTAAACCCCTTTAAGTGACTACCTTTCCCGACGGCGGATAAGACGGTAAATCCCGTTCTTTCATTTGGTGCGTGTCCTCGAATCCTCCCATGTGACTTTTGTCTAACTCCCGAAGCATATCCTCGCTTAAGGGTATTGGTTGTTTTGCTTTAGCGCTTTTTTGGCGATTAACAAGCTGCAAAAATTGTGAAGTTATGATAATAACAAATAACAAATTAATAACAAAAAATGCTGTATGCTAAAATAATGAAATTGGAACTTACGACAGTAACTCCAAATATGACAACAAAGAGAAGTGACGCCATGGCAATAACAATTACTGCAATACCCCATTGTGGGAGCAATGCCTCATCATCTGGTTCCACTATAGTCGGGTCTTCACGTTTCGGCAATACTGCAAAATTATCATTTTTTAAATATAGTTAAATATAATAATGTGTTCTTTCATAAACGTATGCAACACAAAACTGAAGAAATCTTAAATTTAAATTACCAATGAATTCTGTATAAGCTGGATCCATTACGAATTTTCCCATTTCCAATTTTCCAACGGATTTGTCGATGGTTTTAGTCATTTTTTCGTTGCTCTTTCTCATTTTATCCTCGTCCGGTTGGTCGCCTAGCATTACATCAGGATCAAAATCTACGTCTGTTATTTGTTCTTCCACTACAGAGCCCGGCTTAGCTTGGTTAAGTGTTTTATGGAATAATCTCTTTAACTGCAATGTGTCAACTCTGTCTTCGACTTCGTTTAATTCTATGAAATAATCAACCAGGACTGATCCTGGTGTAAAACCATCTATGCGAATGTCTTTGTACCATTTTCTCAATAAGTCTGATTTTCCGTAGACTGAATTTAACTGTGATAAAAACAAGAAATAAGTATTTCCAAATATTTAATGGATTGAGATTTTCAGTAAATTTCATGAATCTATTATTTTAAAAATAAATTACCTCTTCTTTAACTTCCTTTGCCAACTTTTGCCATTCCTCTGTGTGGTGGTCCAATAGTTCAGGGACCCATTTTGCACCTATAAATTATTTTGTTCTAGTTAATAGAATTATTGCTTATCCTATAAATGGTACTTAGAACATTTTGTAATACATATTAAAGCAATTAGAATTTTTCCAAGTTTAATAACATTTTTACGTACTTAGGTTTTAGAAGTATTTTTTACATCATTGCTAGGCATGATGGTTTAAGTGATAAAAATTCTGTTACCTGCAACAATTTTGATTGTAGCTGCTATATCACATTCGTGTCGGCAAACACCAGGCGTGGTCGGCGGCGGGGGCGCTACAGTCGTCGTCGTTGTTGTCGTCGTTCTTCTATGGGTCGTTGCTTCGGTGTTAATACTAAACGGAGTCGTGGCGGTCGCATTTCTTTGTGCTTCTAAAAGTTTCTCTATCGAAAATGGTGTGGTAGACGGTGATGGCCAGCCAGTAAATTCGGTAGAAG